TGCTCCATAAATGTCTGCTTGATTTGAATATAATACAAACTGATTGTAAAGATGAGTTAATTGGCATGTTCAGAACATGCCCATTATTTCAAGGCAGAAATAGCCACTGGAAATCTTAACAAAGTTGCAACTGCTTTGTCTTCATTTTTATCAGGTATGGTGGAAGTATATTTAGTCTTATCCTTGCACCTACAAGGTAGCTTTTGATGTCCAAATGCAAGGCTAAGTTGGAATGACAGTATCTGTAAAGCCCTAGTATCCCTCACCTCTGGGAACAGAGGCATTTTCATTCGGTACATCAATTCAGATGGATATCACTTACATTCCCCAAACGCAGAATAGAGTTCTGCATTTGGCAATAACATTCTACTGGTTCGCCAGCTTTGTAAGATGAACTGGTGGGAAGTATGCAGAATTATGAGAATGATGTTCCCAAGTGCACAGGGTACACTCAGACTGCAGGGTTCTGGTACTAATCAATTGTTGCTACACACGGAAATATCTCAGGTAAGACCTCTTTTTAGATGCTCAACTCAATGTATGGAAAGCTGCACATTGTAGGCCAGTGTTCCCCAACCTTAGCTACTTTAAAGTGTGTGGACGTCAACTCCCCAAAATCCCCAGCCAGCAATACTGGCTGGGGATTTCTGGGAGTTGAAGCCCACACATCTTAAAGTTGCTAAGATTGGGGAACACTACTGTGTAAACAAAGGGATTTGCCTATATCACTCATTTTTCTCTTGACCACCGACAGCCCGAAGGAAGGAGAGTTTTAGTTGGGCTTGAATTCAGGTAGAGCATTCAACTTGATCCATTCCAAACAGAAGATCAGCTTTTCTTAAAACCAGTTTGAAGTTTCTGATGCATTCAGTAAAATGCCTGAAGGGAGAAAACGTAAACCACCCTTTGACTGGAATCCTACTTGATCAGCCTGGGCACATTCTGCAATATTTTCACATACACAAGGAAGAACATAGACATAAAGCTATATGGATAGGAGAACAAAAATGCAGCCTCCCCCTTTAGTCTTTTTAAAGTTGGGGGTAAAGTGCTTTTTATTTCAAGTTATTGCTAAATGTTCATTCATTTTCAGGGAAAGTGCATTTTAGTGCAATTTTTCATCTATCCATCTATGAAAGTGAATAGCATGGTGCCCAACAGATTAGTGCAGCAGACAGCACATGTCAAAGCCATTAAAAAAGTTGAAATTCACTTACACTTGTGATGTTTGTAAAGTTCAAATAGAAATGGAAGAAACAGGAAAAAAGAGCCAGGGTGGGTGGGTTGTGACAGCATCATAGAGATGCTCCGTATAAAATGAGCAAGCAAAGATTCCTCCTGTGGGTGGATCCAGCCTTTATTCCCCTGCCTATTAAGTCCTCAACTCTTCTTATTCCAGGCTCTGAAAGCTGATCTGAGAATGCAAAGAAAGGAAGAAATCAATTATAATAATCTCTCCTTTTTTATTTGTGGGAGCTTGGGAAAGAGACTTCCAATGGGGCTTAATCCCATTGGAAAACGCAGCTGACTGCATTTTTAACAAGTTGAAGTACTATAGAGGGCAATATAAAAGCCGCTCAGTTAAGGATGGGATATCTGCAGTCTTTCAGATGCAGTTTGGGATTTATGACAAGCCCGATATTCCAAAGCACCTGTGGATTTTTCTAAACTAACTGGGGATGGAAAAGGAACTCTGGGTATATTGCAGAAAATCAAGAATTTCAAATTTCAAAATCAAATTCATTGGTTAATTTTTGTCTAGTTAAGAATTTCAGTGGCTACTTTATTTCTGACCATGGTATTTACCCCCACCCCATAAAAGTGGTAGATAGTGAGCTGTAAGTTTGAAGAATTACCTTGGGGGTCAAATACATTCTTATTCATTAGTCAAATCCATTACCAAGAGGCCAAGATGCTATCTGTTCCTCATTCAGCCTGTCCTAACCAAGCCAGGCTCTAGTCCTTGAATGCTCAAGAGAATTATATACCACCACTTTGGTTTGCAGAAGGATGGAGATGGATGGGAAATGTAGACCACTCCTTTCCATTTCCAGGCAATGCCAACGTGCTTGGCACCCAACGACGGGAAAAAGTCGAGCTCCACTAAACCTATGTCATGGCATATATCCCAGCTGCTCCCAAATTGGTTTGTGACAGTGAAGCATTTTGAAAGTGCATTCAGCCACAGAGGCCAATAAATGACACCTTCTCTAGAAAACGTCTACAGTTCACACGCATTTCTTTCCAAAGCCATTGGACAGAAGGACTTGCTTGGACTGAAATTTTGGAATGCGCACAGTTCGGGTGAGAGAAATAATCCTATCGCTCCTTTGATGTTAGTGGGCAAAATGCAGATAACAAAACACACAGAGGTTCCTTTCAGTTTTCCCTGGCCTCTGGGTTCAGTAGCTGCTGGTGTGGGTTCTGGTGGCTCTAGTGTTGCTTCCTTCTCAAGTTGGCATCAAAAGCCCTTAAACAAAAAGGGGGAAAACCAAGAAGGAACAGGAATGCTAACTCCAGCTCCATATTGGAGCCTGGCACAATATTTGTTTTCTCAAGCACTCTGGTTCAGGAACTCTCCAAAAAAAGCAAGTGCCCTCAACCCACAAGCAGGCCGTTGTGTTCTGATCATGCTAAGGAAATATATGGTTGTCCAAGGAAGGACAAGTGTTATTCATTTGGGTTCACCAACCAGCAGCAGGAGAAATGAGACAGTGGCATCTGTGTTGTCCACGGTGGGCTTCAGAAGAAGTGGAGCAAAAGGCCTATGGGTTTCCACCACCCAAGGAGGCTGTGAACAGATCCTGATAACCTTTCACACATCCAATACCACTCTGAACAAAGACAACAAATCTCACGGGAGGATCTTAGCAAAAAATGTCAGACATAGAAAATATTCTGACTATTGGGGAAGAAAGCATAACTGGCTGAAAACATGCAGACTCTTAAAGATGTCTTGCTCCACTAAGTTTACCCTTAGAACTGCACCTTATTAAAACACTTCGCCAGCTGCTTGGAACTGATGTGGATAGCGGTGACAGGAGAAAGGAAGCCAAAAAAAATCTGGCTGTCACTATCACCTAGACGCTGCCTAATAGAGGGATGATGAATCATTGCCTCACGCACGGCTGTTTACGTATACTATGAAAATGAAAGCTGGGCTCATGAACCAGACTCGGTTATCAGTACCAGTGCCAAGCTTGCCACTTGTAGTCAAAACATACTCCAAACTGGAAGCGCAATGAAGCACAATGCATGGACATTCTGCAGCTCTGTATTGTCTCTTCCTTCCTGTTTCCTCTGACTCTGTGAGGAAATAGCCCAGTAGCTACCAGTTGCCTTTTGCTCTTGTCTGTTTACCACCACCACCCCCATTTCCAAAGCCAGTGACTGGTCTATAGTCCCCCAAAGCCACAACTCCTAAGTGCAACATGCCTCTGACTCATTTCCGTTTTACCCCACAGTCTAAATTGCATGATTATCCTAAATCTTGAACCTAATCAAAATCTAACAAACAAAAGAATCCCAAAACTATTATTTTCCTCCTCCCCCCCCCCAGCTATCCCACCACCCTCCCCAAGATGCCTTGATAAAAGTGAAGTCTTTACATCTCTTTGGCAACAATAACTTAAATCTGCCACTCTGTTAGGGCAGGTGGGTAAACTTTGTACAAAAATAAGTCTCAGTGGCAGTTTGATCTGCTTTTGCTATGCATCTGCTGGGTGTTTCTTTCTGCAACTGAAGGGTGACAAAGGAAGTTTTGGGGGAAAAACCCCCACCCCTAAGACTTGGTATTCCTCTCAGATTCTCAGCAGGTCACATCATAGCTCCCTAGGAAGCCCCCCCCCCCGAATAATGCTGTAGTAGAGAAAGGATGAAGAAGTCAGAAAATGGGAAGATAGCATTGATAGGTCTCAGCACCACAGTCTCTTCCAGCCAACGAAACATTTAAATAAGCTTGTTTTTTATGTCCTATATGCCAACCCCCCCTTCTGGGATTCAGGCTCCTCTCTCAAGGCTAAATGGGAAGTGCTGAAGGCTATCCAGACACCACTTCCGGGCTGTTCACGTTGATCCTGCTCATAACAGAAGGCAAGATCTTCAGTAGAGCTGAGTACCTGGGACAAGACCGTGATTCCCAAAAGGATGTGGGTGGGAACAATTTTGAGCTCCGCAACCATGATGAAACAGAGCGACAGCAACCCAGGGTCAATGAAAAACATAAGCAAAAAAGGGGGAATGGTTGCTAAGACCAGGAGTCTTCCCTGCTCAAAACATTAAATGTGATCTTCACTTCAGCTGGCTGCCCTACCAGTTTCAGGTGTTTGGCCTACACTTGTCTCTAGCTCTTCCGCTAATTGATTGTGTCCACTGGACACATCAACTCCACTTGATATTCGGACACAGCACACTGAGGAAAGGACAAGGAGAGCTTGCCCCCTGTGGCAAGACACAAGTACCAGTGCTTTGAGGGGCCACCTGAAGCATGTCAGAATGGCACAAGACACAAGGCTACGTGCTCTCTCAATATCCCCTATGGGGTGTGGAAAGAAGACACGATAAGCTCACAGAACAGGCAGGGAGAGGAGGTCTCAGGGCAGCGCCCCAACTGGGGAAGTCAGTGTGGGTCAGAACATCAAGAGGCATGAGCTAGGAGTATTACAATGGCTTATGTGGCAATGTTAGCAAGGTCACAGATCTACCCTTTAAATGCTATAGGTTCTATATGTCTATATATGTCTATTTGTACACAAACACTTTCTTGGGTGTGTGCGCACGCGCAAACACACACTCATGTTTGCACAACCATCGCAAACCACCTCATGGTAGGGTGGCTCCAGCCCAGCAGCAGTCAAAATCTGTCCAATAAAATCTGAATGAGGCCCTGAATGAGTTCTGCTCCAGCCAGCTCCTGGGCCTTATCCGTGCTCATGTCCCCTGGTGCAGAAACTGTGCCATGGGGGCAAAGTAGGAAGTCCAAAAGGGAGAGATAGCCAAGGTCACTCTCTGTTGCCATTTTCGCTGTTGCCTAGAAAAAGGGAAGAAGCTGTTAGAAATTGCAACCACATAACTAGAGGCCTCAGTGGCCCTTTTCCTTGTATTGTTCTTAGCTTTCCCAACACCCCATGTCTTTTTCCAGATGCCTCAGGACTGTAAGCCACAGACTGAATTCAGTTCATGACATATGGACAGAAGCTTAATGGTGTGTCTGTAAAAGGGATTCACAACTTCCTTCCTAGTCAGATATGTTTTAAGAACTGGGGTAAAGTTTCCCAGTTTCCACAGGCAAGTCAACTACCTTCCGAGGATTTGTGCCAGCCTGGGCTTCTATCTGAATAGATTTTTTTAAATTAGATTTTTATCCTGCCTTTATTATTTTACTGGTAATTCAAGACAGTTAACACACAGTACCAAATACTCTTTCTTCCTCCTTTTCCCCACAACAACCACTCTGTGAGGGGGGTTGAGCTGATAAAGAGGGACTGGCCCAAAGTTACTCAGTTGGCTTTCATGCTTAAAGTGGGACTAGAACTCAGTTTCCCGATTGCTAAGCCAGCACTTTAATCACACCGCCAAACTGGAAGGAAACAGAAACATTGGAAGTATGGAAGAAGGATCCTAAACCTCCTGCTATCATATGAATGAATGGCTCTGGATTACGAAAAGGTAGATCTCCATACTCCTGCTAAAAAAAATCATAAATCAAGTTCTCTTGTGTCAAGCTTGACTCCAGTTTGTCTCCTGGTGACTGTTATGGTTATATTTACATTGTTTTCTCAGCAATGCTATGGAAGAGGTTTGTCAATGCCATCTTCTACATTGCTGTTCCTTTCCTTTAATCTAATGCCACAAATATTGCGATCAGCTCTTAAAATTTGGGGAAAACTGAAATAATTTCATATTAATGTGGCCTCAGTAAAATAAATCCTCCCACTGAGTTTACAGTGTGACTCAACCAAGAATCAGAAGAGGCCCCTGCTTGGGGCAAGATTCAGTGCAAGGGATAAAAATAACCAGTTCAGAACAGTTCTTCATGTCCTATCCAGAGTTTCAATCTAATTTTTAATTTCCTGGCTTTAATCATGAGACCTCTACATCAGATCATATGGACTCCACAACGCTTGCCCCAAGAACAGGAAACTTCTGGGTATTTGGGGGCTTACCGTTCCTTTTTAAGGCCACTCTCCTCTGCAGTTTTTGTAATGTCAAAATGGACCTTACCTCCTACCGGCTCGACATCTGAGTCAGTGACATGTGTGATGGAGAACCGTGATACTGCAGCAGGTGAGACTGTGAAGCGTGAAAACTGGATGGGCAGCACTTGCTTCTGAGCAGATGCTAGCGTGGGTGACAGTCTGGGGAGACTGTCCTCAGCTGCCTCTGAAGTCATTGATGGCAGGAGAGGTGATTTCACAGGTATGAGGGAAAAGTCATCATCCCATCCAAAGCCAACACCTGAAATGGAAAGGATAGATTTAGGAAAGAGGAAGAGACCGATATGAAGGCTACTCCCTTCACCCACTCTATACAACGAAGTTTCCCAAACTCCAACAGGATTTCCTGTATCAGACTTCAGTCTGACACCTTCCAGATATGCTGGATTTTGGCCAGGCTCCCTAGAAGTTTAAGTTTAAGTTTAAGTTAAGTTTAAGTTTAAGTTAAGTTTGGAGGGCTTGGGGAAAAAATCGCTGTGCAAAATATAGGTAATCCTATATTACAATCATTCATTTAGTGACTGTTTGAAACTACAGCATTGAAAAAAGTGACTTATGACCATTTTTCACACTTACGACTTTTGTAGCATCCCCGTGGTCATGTGTTCAAAATTCAGACGCTTGGCAACTGACATGTATCTATGACGGTTGCAGTGTCCCGGGATCATGTGGGTCACTTTTGTGACCTTCTGACAAGCAAAGTCAATGGGGAAGCCGGATTCACTGAACAACTGTGTTACTAACTTAACAACTCCAGTGATTCACTTAAGAACTGTGGCAAGAAAGGTAATAAAATAAGGCAAAACTCACTCAACAACTGTCTTGCTTAGGATTGGAAATTTGGGGTTCAATTGTGGTTGTAAATTGAGGATTACCTGTACATTACTACAACATCATTCTCTATGATCTTATGATGGCCATCACAAACTTGTTAAGCAAGCTGCTTTTAACAACCAAACTTACAAGCTGGAAATTCTTACTCATAAACTAGTTTGTAATAAGAGAAAACTAAAAATGTCTACTTGTTCCCAAGTCAAATATGGAATCTGAAAGACATTGAAAGAGACCAGGTGTACTACTGACCAGCACTATTCTGGCCTGCAAAATTCTATGAGTCCAGATTCCTTCTGATGTTGTTTTTTTGTCCATGACAGATGGAATTTATGGAAATGGGACAAATTATCTGAATCTGCAGGATTCTTCTGAGAAAATACACATATGGAAGAAGCAGCAACAGGGCAAACACAGTCCTTGACTTACAACCTTAATGGAGTCTACCTATCATAATAGTAAGTCGTGGTGGTTGCAAAATGGGTCGGCCATGTGACCGGCCCCATTTTATGACTTTTTTTTCGCAGCACATAAGTGGCCTCCATGGTTCTTAAGCAAACACTGCTGTGGTTAAGGAAACCAATGCCTTGCTATGGTACGATTTTGCCCAAAACCAGAAGTGACAAGTTTTGGCAAAATCGTCGTAAAATGCAATCACATGACTGTGGGTGCTGCAAACGGCCATAAAATGTGGCCCTGTTGCTAAGCGCCCAAAGTTTAGTCATGTGACTGCAGGGGAATCCATGTTGTAAGGTAGGCCCATTATAATTTTGGTTGTAAGTCAAGGACTACCTTTATTCACAAAATAAAACTTTGTGTAGTCAAATCAGTTTTATCCATGTCCGCAAGACGGTTAGGTTTGCCCAGTTTAAGTCAAGATTAGTATTGGTAAATACCTTCTATATCATTAGTTAGAACGATGCTTTTTTTCCGTTTTACTCGACTCAAGTTCTCTGACATTTTCATCACTACTCCCACATTACACAAGAGTATCCGGAGTATTCCTCCTTTGATCCGTACTTTTATTCTCTTCAGAGGAGCTCCCTTCTGAGCTGCTGTTGGGTGAATATATCCCATCTGCTAAGCTTGGGGAACCTTTGCTCTCCACCTGCCCAGGTGGCGTTGGCGAAGCTTCGGTCACTCCTGGGAAAGGATGTTCTGCAAGTTCCTTGGTGGGGCTTTCCTGCATGTAAAACATGCAATGGATACAATTAGTTCATATCCTGAGGGAGGGAAAACTGTACTCTGCTATTATCCAGGACACCCTATGAAAAATCAGAAGTTACTTATTTAGTACCTTCAACATCCAAGAAGCTGTAACCGTAACAACCTCCTCCCTCTTTCATGGCTGGCTCATTTCTATGTTAATTAAAAATGTGAAGTCTAACTTTAAGGTTTAGCTGGAACATGTAGCTCGTTTTAGGGTTAGTCTGGACTGTGTAAGATCAGACATGTCAAACTTGTGATGTCACATGACATTGCACAACGTATCGGGACGGTTTTGCCATTGCCGGCAATGGGGTGGGCGTGGCTTCCGGATGACGTGTCCGGCCGGCGGGCCAGCAGTTTGACACCCCTGGTGTAAGACTATTTAATCCAGGGTTGCAAAATTCCAGACAGCCACTGACAGCCAAGTGTTTAGAGTTTTCTGTATCTCTACTATATGCTGCTATACATTACTCACATTAACTGGGCTTCATCTGAATACTAGATAGCAGCATATTGTAAAGATACAGACAACTCTACCACAGTTCAGCTCTGCTAGCCCTATTTATAGTCATGCACTTGCTGCCCTCCCAATCTTTGCTCATCTAGGAAGGTCTTAATCATGTTTGTATGGGTGATGAGATTTGTATTCCAATTCATCCGGAGGGTGGGAGGTTAGAGGAGACTGGCTGGTATTGTTATGGCTAAGATTACAGAATATTATAATGAGATGCCAGTAAACAATTGGTTGAAGTACGCAGAATAATCAGATCTGCACTGCAAACTTCCGGTTGACCACAAACTTTACATCTTTTTAGACCTAAAACGTCAAGTCTACACGGCCTACGTTTTATATTTCTTGGGCCACAGAAGATCCACGAAACCTATAGATAGTCGGAGGGGTCGAAACGTTACCGTTTTGTCATACTAAATTTTGGAGATCCTCCTTAGTCCAACGTATAAAACCGGAGGACCATACTCCTACAAATCGTGTCCTACGTTTCTGTTCCGAGTCCTTTTCTAAGTTACTTTATGTTGTCTCTTCAACCCCTCCCCAACAAGTTACCTGGTCAAAGAGGTAGACAGTAACATCTTCGATGAAGGAAACAGCTTTCTTCTTGCGCTCAAGGTCATCACAAAAGGTCTCCACCACTAGATTGGGCATCTTAAGCAGGCTGCGCAGGTTACGGGCACTGTGGCTCTCAGCCACTACAATGGGCACAGCAGGTGATTCCTCCTCACTTTCCTCACTCTGGTCCTGAATGTTGTAGCACCGCAGCTCCTCATCGGACTCATCACTGTCCTCAGTATCCTCTTCTTCCTCTTCAAGATCAGTGGGTCTACATGAGAGCTTGGATGGTACCCCCGACAGTTCCAGTGATAGCGCAACATTGCTCTGAGATTCCTTGGGATGGCCAATTGCCCGTCTTTCCTCAGGTTGTTCAGTGTTCTTTGTCACATTCTCCTGTCCTGAATCCTTTACCTCATTTTCTTTACCACCTATAGTGGGTTCCTCTGGACTGGTGACCACAAGAGACAAGACGAAAGATCTGGTGGTGGGAGCTGGTGTCTGTGATTGCACAACAATCCCATTATTCTTATCCTGAATGAAGTTTGAATCGAACTCATCAACAGTTGCTTCATTCAACAGTTCCTGTGACAAGTTAATATCTCTGTCTTTCCCCATGTCCTGGTCCTCTGTTCCTGGAGAGATGCAACCCCCACAGTCTTCATGTGGACAAATGGGCTCAAGACCAGCTGGCAGAGACTCGTCTGTCCTGCCAATTTGTTCAGAGTTTTCGTTTAGTTCTTCAGTGTGTGACTGGGAGACCTCCAGTTCATGTTCCTCAGAAGCATCACTGTCCTCTTCCCCATCTTCCCGAGTTCCACCTTCAGTATCATAGTCAGAGAAATAGGCAGAGTCACGGTAAGGATTCTTCTCATTCAAGGCCTGCAGCTCAGCTGTAAAAGAATCAGAAAGACTCTGCTCTTTGACTTGATCATCCTTATCATCTTCAGATGTTCCCAGCTTATCAGATCCTTCAGATTCCCGTGACTCATGAGGTTCCCTGAGGACAAATTCAGGTGACTCGTAGTTCTCTGTATCATAGCCACTATCCAGAGCCTTAGGCTGGCTTGAGGATATATAAGCTATGGGGCTGAATGTATCACAGGAGCTGGTGGTAGAGGGGATTTCCAATGAATCTAGTGAATCTGGAGTCCCTACTTGTTTCTGTAAGTTTTTGAAAGTGGGGATTATATCTTGTTGCTCAAGACAGTCAACTGGGAAGTCAATAAAAACACTAGATGTAAGATCAGCTGAGTCCTCATCACTGGCCTCATCCAAGTCAGGGAAACTGGTACTGGAAACAGTCTTGTCTGGAGTTCTATCTTGTTCACTACTGGTGTTCTTGCCACTTTCTATATTGATCTCCTGTGGCAATTTAGGTGAGCATCCAATGGAGGTCTCTTCCATAGGGTCTTCTTCTATGTTTGACACCTCAGCTATTGATTCATCCAGCAGAATTGGATCTATAGCCTCCATGCTGCTGGCAGCTTCTTCCTTGGAAGATAACAGTGATGATGTTGATGACAGCCCCATCAAAACTGCTTCCCCTGATGGTGGAGTAGTGGCTTCTGGGCTCTCCACTCTGCTGTCTATCAACGGATCGGTAGAGCTTTCTACACCAGACAATGTAGTAGCACTTTCAACTGATACGTTTTCCTCTGCAGGCAAATCACTGTCTGGACATGGGGAGCCTATGTGAGATGATGACAAGTGTTCCCCACCTAGCAGAGCTGCTCGCAGATCTTTGATCCCTAACGTTGGCTCATCCCGTGGTACTGTGCACAGTGGCTGTGCCATTAACCCCTGGAAGGTGATCATATGCCGGTAACACCAGCTATCTTTGTCAAGTGGTTCACATGATGGCAGTAGGTGATCACTATCATTTTTGGCTGAGGTGTTGGATGTCCAATGTTTGCCTGAACTTGGGGATTCAGAATTTTCATTTCTTTCACTTTTAGGACTATCACACAAGCGTTCCTCCTCTGCTACTTCCAGAATGACTGAGTCCGATATAGTCTCCTTACAAGTGTAATTCACTGACGGTGACACACCCAGTGGATCAGCAAAAATGGTTTTCTGCAAAGCTAGACCAGGCCACTCAGAAGCATTGGGATCCTTGAGCAGGTAGTCCTCAGCACTGTCCTTCAGGGAATCCTCATAGTATAGGGCCTCTTTATTGTCTTGTTCTCCATAGGAGTAATAATCAGAGGGGTCCCAGTGACTTTCAGTGTGTGCCGATTGACCCAGGAGGGGTTCCATGGTGAGTGAGATGGTGGGACTATTGCTGGATTCATAGTGGTCCTCCTTGGTTTGCCAGTGTGAAGAATGGCTAAACTCAGGGCTGTAGGAGCACACGGTATAATCAAGGTCATTCCCACTGCCTTCAGATGCCACCTCTTCAATGCGAATATAGTACTCGCTGTTCAGAGAGGGGCTATGGGCACTCAGCACAGGGACCACCCCTGGTGTGTGCAAACCAGGGCACCCCTGCATTTTACAATCATAGCAAGAGGGGGACACCCCCAGGCTGAGGTGCCCGCCCCCACCTACACTGCTGCTGCTAGCTGAATAGTAGAGATCATGATAGCGTGCAGCCCCACCAGGGCTCATAGCTGAGGCTGGGAGATGTTCAGCTTTCCCTTGGTCCCACTTGTATTCAAAATTGAGACCATGGCTTGTCTCCATCACAGTGAGAACATCATCACCATCGTTGGAGAAATGCTCCAGAAGAGGGAAGGAGGAAAGCTCCAAACCCATGTGATTGGAGCCAGAACCTGAACCGCCGGTGCCTCCGGGTTTCATGGAGTTCCAGCGCCTCTCAAACTCCTCCTCCACTTCGGAAGCCCCCTTGGCACAGAGGTAGGAGAGCAAAAGATGCACCTCTTCTGCGGTGGGGCGCTGCTCTGGCTGAAGCCAGCAAAACTGCATCACCTCATACCTGTGAATAGCAAGGAGCAGCTGTGAGCCAAATGAGGTCCCTTGTTGTCAGGAAAGTGGCTATTCTGCACCCCGCAAAGAGCTTACCCTTCCCCCCATTAGTGCATAATTCATTCCAAAATATATCTGTTTGTATGGGAATTAGTTCTCTCTTCTCAACATTATTATTCCGTCCTCGAAAATACACTTTAAGACAGGCACAGCAATAATGACAGCTTCATGTAAATAAAAAAAAAAAACTGGCCTGGGTAAGAAAAAAAAAAGTCAGAGAAAACAGCATCAAAAGAAAACAAGGCTTTTTCTGATAGGATTTGCTTCTCAGCTCCAATCAACATCCTGGTCCCATCAACACTGCAGAAAGCTTTATCAAAGCTTAACATGGTGGTCCAGATACGGCCTAGACAAAATATTATTCTGGGCTAGGTACCATACTGTACTTCTGTAGAAGCAGCTCAGGACTATCTCAGCCTTTTTAGCAGTTATGCTACCCTACTGGCTCATATTCAAGACATCTAGTTCCTTCTCATATGTACAGTACTTCTGTACTCCTTAGGCAGGCAAAGGTAGTGCTTGATTTACAACTGTAACCGAGCCCAGAATTACAATAGTCAAGGGGATCACCACATGCTTGCCAACTATTTTACAACTGCTTTTGCCATGATCCTAACGGTAAGAACAATTATCCAGTGGAATGGCTTGCCTTTAGAAGTAGTGGGTGCTCCATCACTGGAGGCTTTTAACAAGAGACTGGATAGTCACTTGTTTGGAATGGTAGAGGGTCTCCTGCTTCAGCAGGGGGTCGGACTAGAAGGCCTTCAAGGTCCCTTCCAATTCTGTTCTTCTAATTGTTAAGCAAACACTGCAGTCATTAAGCAAGCACCGTGGTCATAAACTGAGTCCATTTGCCCCAATGGGCTTTTTTTTTTGCCAGACCCTGGAAGAAAACACTGGAAACCAGCCCCAAACACACACACACACAAAAAATCAGTCACATGACCACAGGATGCTGCAAGCAGACATAAATGCGAGCTGGTTGCTGAGCACCCAAAATGTAATCACGTGACCGCAGGTGTTAGAACTTCAAAAGCGGGTTGTATGTAGTTCTGAGTCAGTCCGTTGTAACTTCAGTCTAGAAGTGAGCAGTTGTTGAGCAAGGGCTACCTTTATCTGTCCATCCATCTTTCATTCTTTCAATTGCATAAGATTTAACACATTAACCTTGAAGCATGATACTTGCTTATTCAAACATGATGAATGCCTACATGTTCAAGTAGTTTTCCTCAAGAAGTTTTCCTTTCCTCCACCATGTTTGTCCCTATATTCCAATCATTCTTTTCTCTTCCTTGTCCTCCTTAAAAAACCCTTGTCCCCACCTAGTTACTCACCAGCGATCAGATAGCGAGAGTGGAAGCTGTGGTTTGGGAAGTTTAAGCTGCTGCTCTTTGATAGCGTAAGTGAGGACTTGCCGATCAGAATAATGGCAGTAGGGCTGGCCTCCCAGCTCAAACAGCTCCCAGATAGTCACACCCAAAGACCTGCCAAGAGAGGAAAAACGAAAATGCCTAGAGCAGTAGAAAACACTATAGCCAGAATGCAAGATTGATACACAAGATCACATTCTTTGATGCCAGAGCAGTCTCTCTTAGTTACTGAAATATTCAGGTGCTCCCAGATGAGAGAGTATACCATGCTTTTTTTCCTCAATGGACAGGGGTAGTAGGAGCAAATGGAAAGGGTGCATGTCAAAGAAGAAGAAAAAAGCTGTATTTTCCAGAAAATTCTGTGACAGAGGCAAGACAGTTGCCTTAAAAAACTTTCACCTAGAAGCACCCTTTGTAATTCACCATCAGGAGAAAAAAAAATCTAGACATGGAAAACAGAAATGAAACCAATTTATAGGAAAAATTCCAGTAACGCCGAGAAGCAGAGTCACTCCAGTGATACATATGAACACAAGTCCCATCAATAACTTCTAACTACAATAACCCAGACCCTAAGTCTTGCAAAAACTGTTAGGTTAATTCCATACTTCAAAGACTGTCATTTAAAACACTGTCCTACTTTCTTAATGAGCAAAAAGATACATTGGGGGAGGAGAGGGGAAATTCCCTTTTATATAACTCAGCCCTAAACCATAAAAAACAAGCACCAGAATTTGGAGTTTAGCCCAGAAATAAACAATCAGTAAAGTTTAAATACAATTAATATTAGATGCTTCAATAAGATTACTTTTACTACAGCAGTTGTAGTATCCATTTATTATTATTGATTTAATTTGTATTCCACTTTTGTTATTTTTACAAACAACTAAATCAGGATGGCAAACATATCCAATACACCTTATTCCTCCTATTTTCCCCACAACAACCACAACCCTGTGAGGGGGACTGGGCTGAGAGAGAATGACTAGGCCAAAATCACCCAGCTGGCTTTCATGGCTAAGGCGGGACTAGAACTCATGGTCTCCTACTTTCTAGCTTGGTGACTTAACCACTAGACTAACCTGGCTCTAACCCTGTTTGTCTAAAACGTTTGGCGCCAGGCCTGTCTTTCCATGTCAAGTGGATTTCATACATCAACCCAGATTTTTCTCACCAGATGTTGCTAGTCTTAGTCTGGTCGACGATCAGCAGGTTGCCGTGGACTTCATCAATCAATTCGGGGGCTACCCAGCGTAATGGAACCCATAGTTGGTCGGCGGTCACAAAGTAGTCATCCTGCCAGGCATGCAGGGCCAAAGGGAGAGCAAATCCATCAAACCAGCCACAATGCCACCTGCCCCTTCGTTCCTGGCCCAAAGTTGAAGCTTCCAAACTCTTTTGCCAGTGAAAAATATGGTTGGCACTACTGAATACCTCTTCCAATTGCTCCTAGCCTTTTCACTTCTCCAACTCAGTCATCTGACCCTGGTTTATTAATTTTTATTTTTATTTAAAATACTTCTAAGCCTGCTTTGTAGAATACAGATCTTCTCAAAGCATCTTATGGAATAAAACAATATCTATACAATTTAATAAAAAAAAATTACGAGGGTATAAGCAAACATCCCATCCCAAAAAATCTCCCCTAAAAACACTTAAGGGAAGATCATAGAAAACAGGCAAGTTTTTCAAACGTCAGTGATGGGGGCTCCTGAACTTCATTTGTCAGGATCATGCAAGAAATATGTGTCTTTTCTCTTGCAGGGGCCAATAAGAAAAGCCTTCTTTGCAGTCTTAAAGTAGGAGCAAGTGGGTGCAGGTGCTTCATTAAGTTAGTAGGCTGCAAAGATTTTAAGGTTTTTTTTTAATATTATAAAGAGCCCATTAAATGCAGCTCGGAAATGCATTGACAGATTCACCTCATTTCCAACAATACTGGCCCGGCCATGTTCTGCATCAGCTTAAATTTTTGAGCCACCTTTAAAGCAGCCACATATATTTACTGTATATATCAGTGGTGGCGAACCTATGGCACGCGTGCCAGAGGCGGCTCGTGGAGCCCTCTCAGTGGGCACACGCCATTGCCCCAGCACACGTGGTCTCTAAAAGTTTGCCATCACTGGCCTAAGACCAGCCAGTCTGGAGCCGCCATTGGGGAGCCCACCATCCCACCTGCCAGAGACCCCCTGGATCTCCCCCAACCCTGCCCCCACAGGTGTCCCTCCCCATAAGCAACATCGAGGTGGCCACGCCCACCCCAGCCATGCCCACCCAATTTGCCATGACTACTGCAGCCACACCCCTCCAGTGGCCACGCCCACCCAGTCTGCCAAGCCCACTGTAGCTGCGCCCGCCAAGTGGGCCACACCCACCCGGCACTCGGGGATATATAAGTGGGTTTTGGGTTGCAGTTTGGGCACTTGGTCTCTAAAAGGTTCGCCATCACTGGTATATATGAATGAAAAAAAATGTATTAACAATATATATGCGTAAGATCCTGTGCGTGAATGTGTATTAGCTTCTGATATATCTTGGTGTATTTGTCTCTCACCCATTTCCCCTCCTTCCCCATACCCTCTCTCAACCATCCCTGGAAAGAGAGCTGCTTTTATTGTCAACCTTTCAAGTCCTCTCCAAACCCTGCCAATAGCAAGTGCTCTCACTCCATGTCCCCCCACCCCACCCCAGTTCCCTACCCCCTAACACACTTACTTTGTATTTGCAGTGAGAAAGGCCATAGTCACCAATTTTGACGGTAAGGTCAGCTGTGAGTAAGCAGTTCCGCAAGGCCAAGTCACTAGACAAAAGAAATATTCAATAGAGTTTATCCATGAAATATCAACGGGCCTGTTATGATGCAGATTAGATTAGCAGCAGAACCCCTAAACCAGGGAGTGGCAGCTGAAGTGCAGGGCAGAATTGCTAATCTGTCTGTATTACTTAGCTTATCAAAGGCAATAAGGAATATCTCCAATTAGACCTGGAAATATGTCCAGAAATGAATCCTCCGAAAGAAATAGAGTTAGAAAGCCAAGCCACTATACAACAATACACCAATTGGGATAAGTTCTGCTTTCTCTCAGCTTCTCTCCTTTTGATTTTCCAGCAAGATCCTCCTACCATCAAACCATGCATTTATCTGATTGACAGATGGATGCAACTGATCACCTGTAGACAGTGGTGGGATTCAACTGGTTCGCACCAGTTTGGCAGAACCGGTAGCTAAATCCGGAAGTCCGTTCTAGGCCTCAGAGGCCCAGGCTTGCATCCAATAAGAGAACCAGTTGCTCAGGTTATTTCAATCCCATCACTGCCTGTAGAATTTTCAAGGCCAGCCCTATACATGGTCTTACAACTAAGAATGACATAGAAAGCAGTTATCAATAATAACGAGAGGAACCCACTTCCCGCTCTTCTGATGAGTCTGCACTCTGCAAGATTTAACAAACTACGCCACATAAAATCTCTGTTCCTGATTTCAATTGTTTAAAAAAAAAAAAACCTGCTGCATGTTTATCCACAAACCCTGAATTGACAGGTAGCCCTCAGCTTACAACCCCAATGGAGCCCAAAACTTATGTTGCTAAGTGAGACATTTGCTAAGTGAGTTTTGCCCCATTTTATGACCTTTTTGCCACAGTTGTTAAGCGAATCACTGCAGTTGTTAAGTTAGTAATCTGGTAGTTAAGTGAATCTGGCTTCCCCCATTGATTTTGCTTATCTGAAGGTCGCAAAGGGGATCACATGGTCCCAGGACACTGCAACCGTCATACATATGAGTCAGTTGCCAAGCGTCCGAATTCTGATCGCACGACTATGGAGATGCTACAATGGTCGTAAGTGTAAAAATCGGTCGTTAAGTCACTTTTTTCAGTGCTGTTGTAACTTCAAATGGTCACTAAATGAACTGTTGTAAGCCAAGGACTACTGTACTGTTCTTTAACGTGGATTGAGGATTCTCAGAGCAGAGATGCTCCCCTAAAAAAGCACATGGACACTAATTTTTGTGAGCTGAATCACAAAAAAAACCCAGCTGCCCACCTTAATTCTGTTTGGACCCTTATTCTGTCCTCTAACTTAGCTACCTCCCTCAAGAGAAAATGTCTCCTTGAAAAATGTAGTAAATGGCCATGCCACAGAGGGCTTTTTTTTTGGGTGGGGGAGGCAATTTTAGCCTTTCCTTCCCACTGCTGGCACATCGTTTTCTATCAGTGATCACGATGGTAGTTATAGCTATTCTTCCAATTGCATGAAAGCATGATGTGTGGTCCATGGTATTGATCGCATTTACATCAACATCTATTTTCCCCATCTTTTGCCATCTCAGAAGAATTGCTGAGCCCAACAGTCACCATAGCTGCCTTTGTTATTCTGGGAGAGAAGTCCAGTACAGCACAAATGGGCCTGTTTCTCTCCCTTTGCAAAGGCTGTGTGACATTTTAAACATTACTCAATCACATTTTTATATCGACTCTGAAAGATAATGCCAGTCTTTATAGCTATGTTAAATAAGAAGAGAGAAAGGAGAGAAAGGGGAGGGAGGGAGGGAAGGAAAGAGAAAGAGAAGAGAGACCATGCCAAAGCAGCAAAAGGCTTATCTTCCAGGCACTCTTCTCTTCCAGCTCAATAGCCTGAGACATCTATGACATCCCTCTCTTTGTGTCCATAAAAGATGGTCCAGGAGATGGCAAAGCACCCCCTCTTCAACAAAATCACTGATGCTGGAGTCTCTGAGTGCCACTCACTCAGCACCAGGATATTGTTGACGGGGAGGAACGGGTGATAAGAAGAGAGCAGGAACTGCAGAGGTTAACCAGGCTTGTCTGGTTTCTTGCTGGAAGCCAAATGCTGCGACCCATGTTTCCCGACAAGACCACAGGAGAGGGGAAAGCTGGTTGGGAAGTCAATGTTACAGAGAGCATACTCTGTGTATCCTCACCTAAAGCACACAGAACTTCAGTTACCACGATACACAATGGGGCCAGTGTGGGGCCAGAATAAAAAAAGATTGGGAACACAGTAATATTTAATACATCTGATAAATGAATAAGTGTAAGAAAACTCTGAGGCTGATTGTAGCCAGCCAGATAATTGTACCGGGGGGGGGATCCAGAAGGGGGCATGAAAGCCTTAGCAGCAGAACAGAACACCATACTTTCATCTATACTTTTACTATCTTTGTCAAATTTTAAAAAGCCCTGATGGGCAACTCTTAGTGCCAAAATTCTGTTAATTTTTAAATGGATGCATCTATAGTCATGAAAAAAATGCCTCTGAAAGCATGAGAACGGTGTCACTAGAAGATAAATTCCAACGTAGTTCTGAAGATTAACTTTATAGAAATGTAATACTTTCCTCAATATCTTACGTTTGTCAGCTTCTATTTTCTAACCCCAATCATTTTAGAGAGCCTGCTTTCCAAATTTCAGCAGGAGACACCATCATTTGAAAGGAAATGGGGTGGGGCATGACACGTAGTCCATGAATTGCCAATTTGTGTTTTTGAATATTTGTTTTCAGGGAAAAAAACCATGCCTTTGGATTATCACCATTTCCACTCCTAGTCACCAGGCCTTGGATATCGTTACAAAATATCATTGTCATCACCAATTCCACAGGAAGCAGATACAGTTCTGGTGTCCCCAGGCAAGACTAGAAAAGACTCCTTTCTCAAATCCTGCAAAAAGATTAGGCCTTAACCCTAAACCCGTATATCTAAAGATCTACACATGTATGGATGTATGGGTAGGTACCACCGGATAGCTTTGAAAATAGCATGTGTTGCTTCTTCCTTATTTGCTAAGTTCTCCTGAGATTATTCTCTTTTCTAAGTTCTCCATCTAACCATCTTCACTCTGCTAATTCGTGAAGAGAACCATTTTCTATTTTCTTTTTATGCGCTTAACCTGAAGGCATGGCAAAGCAAACCAATCTTCTCAACTTACCTATGGACATAGTTGTTGCGATGAAGATGCAGCAAGCCACAGGATACCTCGCAGGCCATGCGCTGCAGCGTCAAAGGATCGGGTGCCAGAGCCTCTGCAGTGTGGCAGCTTCGTAGGTAGCCCTTTAGGTCACCCTGTTGGAGTGGCAGTTGCGTTACCCACAACTATAACTGCCTAAAAATCTCTCTCTGTGAGGTGTGAGTGGTTGAAGAGGAATAAGGGGGGGGGGGAGAAGCATTTCTGCAATGTGGTCAAAAAATGAGACCATGACGATTCAGATTTGCCCCCTCAAGATGGAGGGGTTGTTCAAGTATTCTTGGCCATATTGGAATTCTGCCTATCTGGGGAGACAGAAGAAAGTCTCTTATTTCAGTTCCATGGGTAAAAGAAAGACATCTCTCCACCCATTGTTAGCAAGCCAAAGTAGCTCATTGCAGAGAGAATGAAAAAGTACACTTCTATAAAAGTAGAAACATACCTGCTGAACCAATGGTTTCAGATGATCCCAACAAGAGCCAGGAGACAAGAGGAACATCTCTTCAACCAACCACACTTTTGTCACTTTCCTGTCCCAAAGCTGAGGGGAAGAGGGGAAATTGTATTTTCCTCCCTCCATTAATGACTTACCAATGGGCAAAATTCCATCACCAGCAGATAGGGTGTCACCTCCGCACACTGAGCCAGGCACTGCAGGAGATTGGTATGCTGGAGTGCCCTGGGCAGCAAAGGTAAGAGGTAGAAGTGAGACATGAAGGAAGCAAGCAAGTGGCAGTCCAGAGCCAAATTAAGAGAGGGCTTGGAAAAATGTGCAGACCTGGCAGGGCATTTGGGTCAAGATGGGTTGAGGTACATCAGCATTATAGAATGAGAGAAATCAAAGGGCTCAGAAACTAAAGAAGTGAGGGAACAGCTAAAGATCAGTGAGAAAGCAAGGAGCAGGATGATCACAGTTAAGAAGAAATACACTAGGCTTACAGGTAACACCTCAACTAAGTTAGCTGAGAAAGGACTTTGTTTGAAAGTGCTTCTTTTCTCTTTAGGTTTTCAAGCTACTTTCACATCGTTTTATATAAGGACAGGGAAGGGCTCCTATGATACAATCACAAACTGGCACTAAATAAATGGTCCTAAGCTGTGCCAGCTACCTCAGAAACAATAAGAGCTGTTTGTTCATAAATCAGTAAAGTAATTCATTGCTTCCCCAGCACTGTCCCTCCCCTTCTGTGTATTTTGGTCAGATTCTCTGGATCCAACAGGAGATTTCTTTGCTACTCCGGGATTCATACTGGGAGAGAAGATGTAATACAGAGTAAGCTATCTTGACATCTCAGAAGCTAAAGCAGGACCAACCCTAGTTAGTACTTAGTCTGGGAAGAACCTGTAGGTTTGACAAGCAAGTTGAAAGAACCATCCTGAAGAAAGACAACAGCAAACTACATTTTGTGAAACTGCCATAAAAACATCATGGATGTATCATCAAGAGTAAAGCTCAACTCAAGGACACCTTTATTTTAAAATCTTATCTTTAAGGATTACAAGCATGTAGATCTTCTGATAACTTCTTAATAACATTTATTTGAGGGAGAGACGCCACAAAAGACCCAAATTTTGGAAGTCCTCAAACCTTGCAAGATTTTGATAATCTTAACTGAGGTTTCATAATATATTGGGTAAGAAGGCTGGAATTTGTCAGTTTTCAAAATAACACAAGAATCTTACATTTGGGTCATTTAATTTTTTTAAACTTAACATTTGCATTTTATTTTACGAAGGGTATGAGTGCTACATTCAGGAAGCTCTGAAGTTCAGCACTCTCTCTTTCGCTCCTTTGTCGGCGTCAGACCAAATTATAGACAGTCTTAAAGCTGCTTCTGCTTTGACCTAGAGATATTTTCATCACCATCTCCTATGATCCAGCCCTGTTCTGTCAACATGGGGAAGCAGATAGTTTCCATTCACATAAGCCTTATGTTCCCATATCTCTTATACAGATCCTGGCTGGAACTGTAATAGCCACAAATAAAAGAACACCTGTGGTATGCTCACAGGTGCAGCTCCACAGAAATTTTGTCCAAATGCTGAGGAAAGCTAGATATTCCATAGCCTGCTATTGAAAGATGAAAGAGAACTTACCTGTAAGGCTGTGCCTCTTCCAAGAATTGCATTTGATCCTGCACGCTCGCACTGGCCTTAAGCTCTTTTACCACCACCTGAGTACTGCTCAACCCTGCATTTACCTCACCGAGGAACACCTAAAATGAAAAAGAGAGATATACAGTACAGTCACCTTGATCTGGGATCTTGCACTTCTGATTTAGGCTGATAATGACTTTATGAGCTAGGGAGAGCCACGACAGTTGTACTATAAAACTGTATTAATAGATCAGTATCCTCTTAAGTAGCCACCAGAGTTCCATCACGAAATTTACTGCAACCTTATAATACAGCAAGAATAAGAAATTTGCTAACCCTTCTCGGTTTTTCATTTATGGACATTCTTAAACAATACTGGGAAACTTTCATGCATAAGAGTCAATCAAGTCATCCACAGTACCAAGCCAATGTTTGGATCAGTAATTTGCCAATGGGTGACTACTAATGTTCCACTAACAATCACAACACAAGCTTTCTGCAAAAGCACAACCACTAATATAAATTATCTTTATAAGCTGGGCTTAAGTTTTTATGCTCCACGTAAAAATTTAATTCATGTATTTATTTTGTAATATTTATTCCATTGTCTAGCTCTCAAGTATTTTTCAGGTTATAACGCACCATAAAAGAGTCATTTGGTTTCTATGTCCTCCACACCACTTCCCTGCACACGTATTCTTGTTTACCCTGCTCTTAGGCTCCAGGGTCTTAACGCAACTTTGCTACCAGTTCTTCAGCTGGCTTTCTGTGGCCATTTAATGGAAAACTAGGCAAACTTTCTATAATGCCCAAATAGGAGGCAATAGAAATAAAAATAGGAAAAATCAGTAATGCTGCATGGAGTCTATGGGAAGTGCCAGATCTAATCTATTAGTTACAGAGTTATCCTTATCCTCTGCCTCTCCTCTTTTGGCAATTGCACCTCATTGAGTTGAACAATAGCAGCCTTCTGTTCTTTCCACTAAATGGCTCACTTTTATGTACTGGGACCTAATGCAGAATTGACATTTCTGTTTTTAATTCTGTAAGTTAACGTATATTGTTCCACACTCTCACTCCCCTACTGCCAAAAGCACTACTCAAAGGGACAGCACCGATGCCTAAGAATGAAATCTACTCTATTCTTTCAACTTACTAATTTCACTCCCTTTGACTTTGGCTTTTTCTCTGTATCCTCTCTTCCTTCCCATCCTTCCTGTGTTAATTGCAGATTGGGGATCAGCCCAACTTACCTTGCCAAACCATCCATGGCCAATTTCTTTGAGGTATAGCAGACTGTGGCGTCCCAGGTCAGTGGATTTGAGCAACTGCACTGTGAAGGAACACATAGAGCAGTCTGAATTTCTGCACCCTCCTTCTGATAAGTTGGTCGCTGTACCAGCTTGACCCCATGCTGTCTCATTCTAGCTTTCTGCAGAAGAAGAGGCCTGGGACAACAGCTGCATGCAGATTCAGATACAGGAAAATCCTCAGAGAAAAGTGGAGATATCAACTTCTGGAACCAGGTTCGTTGCAATTCTTTGCTACATTGGCAGAATCAAGCCGGGGCCGAAGAATTTTTTCCCAAACACAGGAAGAAACAAGGAGCTTTCTCCTACAATCAGATGTCTGCCTGAGCTTCCAGGCATTAGGAAGCATCTGTTCAGGGTCTACTCAAGCAGGCTCTCCAGTGTCCCAAACGCAGCAATGCCACCCTTCATTCCCTCAGTGCCAGACACCACTGTTCCCATCACACCGAGAAGCAAAGGCGTTATTGTTGTCCTCGGCAGCAGTGGCTAGAGCTAAACATTGAATCCATTCTTTATGGGGTCCGTTTGGATCACTGGGCTACACAGTGTGGGCAGAGCAGAGCGGAGCCATCGCATGGCTAAGTGGCTCGTCCCTCTCCCTCCCACCCAGCGGGAGAAGTCTCGGATTCCTCAGTGGCTTCACAGGGGAAGGAATGCAGGGCCCGTGGGATCTGGGATGAAAAAGCCCTTTGTCTCCAGTGTAGTGGGGGAGAACAAACCTTCAGGCAGGACAAGCAGCAGCCTCTGCTGAGGTGAAAAGATCAAGGGCAGATGCCCTATCCGCAGGCCTGTTCCATTACTCCTTGTTTTGCTTGCTCTCCAGCTAGCTAATGGAGGAAGTTGGCTGCCCAGGCTGTATGCCTGTTCTCCAGGTATATGCAACTTAGGGAAGGTGCCCTACAAATTCCTATGTCCCCTAAATCAGAATGCCTTGCCCCTTTGAGCCCACAAGGTGGCATTGGCAACTCACACTTACAGCATACTTATGTGAGAAACCAGAATAATCTGGAAGATACTAGTTAAGGGGGGAGGGGGCAGAGAGAGAGAGAGAGAGAGAGAGAGAGAGAGAGAGAGAGAGAGAGAGAGAGAGAGAGAGAGGAGAAAATTTGGAAGATCGCCACAAATATGCTGTTGAGCAATAGGTAGGTACAAAATTCTAGTATCGCCACAAATATGCTGTTGAGCAATAGGTAGGTACAAAGTTCTAGCACCCAAAAAAGGAGCAACAGGCTCTTATTAAAGAAAGGACTGCCATTACTAGCTCTCCTCTTCTGTTTATACCTGGCACTAAAATGATTAAAGCAAGATTAGGGATCTCCTTGCTTTAGGGGCAATCCCCAGGATTTTGAAGTAGAAGGTGGGGACGGAGGAATACATGGCCTTCAGCCTAGGCTATTCAATAGAAATATGCAGCCTAGGCAGCAAATACATCCTCAGATGTGAGAAGATGCGTGACAAAGCATGACCATATACAGAGGAATGGGACTCAAGAACCAAGCCTTTAGGGGCTCCAAACAAATTGACAGGGGAAGAATATGTTAGACAAAAATTCTTCTCTCCTCAGCTGCTTCCAATGGCAACAAAGCATTGACGTTGCAGGAGAGAGGTGGGCCTATACAGGAACCGAATACCATGCTTAGAAGGGGATTTGATCCACCTCAACATATTCTCTATCAAGCAGCTGCAAGTGGGTTGTGGGGGAATCCAGCCAAGCTTATGCATTCCCTTCACAAAGGTGGGTTGGAGGATATGAAGGCTGGAGACTTGCAGTATACAAAAAAGATGGCTGAGTCCAAAAGGACAGAAGGTATCTAAGCAGCTGTCTGCAGAACGGGATCTTTGGAGAATAATTCTTGGTTTATTCTCCCAAGATCCTGTTCTGCAGACAACTGCTTAGAATGTTGGATACATACCATTATGAGGCTATTGCAGGGGTAGGTAACCTTGGCTCTTTTATGACTCGTGGACTTCAACTCCCAGAATTCCTGAGCCAGCTGTGCTGGCTCAGGAATTCTGGGAGTTGAAGTCCACGAGTCATAAAAGAGTCAAGGTTGCCTACCCCTGGGCTAGTATATCCCACTTTAGCTCTTTGCAAGCAATTCTTGTTACATTAGCTTTAATTCTCTCTACTGAATTGAGAACTCTGAATGGAGGTTGGGGATATATATAAAACATACCAAGCAATATTTCATGGTAAAAGATTTCATTTTACACAGAACATCTGGTTTTCTGGTGAAGTATAACTCAAAAGCTTCCATCTCACTATAGCAGCTTCTTTTACCAATCTGGCCACACTTCAAATGTAATAGACCTCAGTTTTCAAGATTTTTGGCCATGGTCATGCATGCTATAGGATTCTGAGAACTGAAATCCACACATCTGGAGACCTTTCTAACCAAAGAAGCCTTTATTATTTCAGCCCCATAGCCTATAGCTATGAAATATTAAACTAAAAAGCAGAACATTGGGGAAAAAATACACTATGTTAATTCAAAACTGACACACTCAACAAAATGAGTATGATGGCATTAAGGGTATTTTGTAAACAAAAGACTTCCATTAAAAAAGGTTTTTAAGCAGACATCTAAAGCACTGGGGTTTGTGAGATCAAAACCAAATCTGTGTTTTACAGGGCAGAAAGATCACTACATTAAAAAAAAAAAATACCCAAGATACTCAGAGCCTTGGATGATGAATAGAGGACATAAAAAGGAATGACATTTATCTCATATGATAGAATATAGTCTTAATATTTTATATGTATTGAAATTATTAAGAATGTTGAGCAGAAACTATCCTGATTATTTGTTAAAACTAACTCTAAAGAGGGGGGGAGGGGGGGAGGAAGGAGGAGGAAAAGAAAGAGGAAAGAGAAGAAGAGGAACAGGAGGAGGAGGAGGAGGAGGAGGAGGAGGAAGAAGAAGAAGAAGAAGAAGAAGAAGAAGAAGAAGAAGAAGAAGAAGAAGAAGAAGAAGAAGAAGAAGAAGAAGAAGAAGAAGAAGAAGAAGAAGAAGAAGAAGAAGAAGAAGAAGAAGAAGAAGAAGAAGAAGAAGAAGAAGNAAGACTGTGAATAAACTTGTGCCTTCTGAAAGCATCTGAGTTACATTTCCAGGATGTCCAGGCAATCTCTGAGACCTCCATGAATTTAGTCCCCGTACATATGGAGGATGTAAAGTTTAGACATTCTGGGTCATTCTATACAGCACCAGAATGGCATATTTATCTATTTATTTGTATGCAGCTCTTAATAGTTAATAGTGGAGCTAATTGTGCTATTACTATCACTGAGGCCATCTTTTTCTATGGAACAATATGTACCATTACCGAAGGAACATAATAAGAATGTGCAGGGGGATAACTATGCAGATCATTGGCAGAAGAAAAAAGAAGAGTCCTATAGCATATTAAAATCTAAGATTTTTATTGTGAGAGAAATACTTGGTGAGGTGGGCTCTATGCTACAAATGCTTGTATCTTTAAGATAATATCAGTATTCCAAGTCCTAAAGAGCACTGAGTCCTTTCACTTTTTTTAAATCATCTTGAACCTGCATGTGTAAAAGGGCTGTGAGAATAACTTTGAGGAAGAGGAGGAAGACAAGAGAACAGCCAAGGCAATGATGAGATAAGAGAAATCTGAGCCCAGAGCAGGAATGGATTTAGAAAAAAACATCTCAGACTGGATCTTCCCTTGTTCTCTTTGGGGTAAAAGTAGGGAAGGGGAAATATACTCAGAATGGCAAGATTCTGTTACTGTGACCCTATAATAAAAGTAGTTTTAATATTCATGGTTTTGCCATTCACGTTTGGTCTATCTCAAAGGGATGACCACATTACATTTGATTAAAGTATTTATTTGTACGTGCACTTCCTCTTCTTCAAGGTTATTCTCACAGTTCATTACAGCACAATAACAATAATTAAAGGGAGGATTTCTTCTGACAGTTGTGGGAAATTGGGCTCCTTGTTTCTTTTCGGAAGCACAAAATCTAGGTGATAATTCCAAGACTGTCAACAACAGAAAAATTCAAAGTTTTGCTGTCTCCCTTTCCCACGCAGATGCCATCCAGGTGTTACTTCTCTCCAGGGCTTTTTTTGTCATAGAATGCACCGGAATGGATTTTCTAGAGTTGCGTTCTTTTCCTATTGTTTCCCTTCTTATCCTCATTTGTTTTTGAAAATGCCCCGCTGGTGGTACGGTGCGAGTGGGGCCCCCTCCGGCGCTGTCTGCCTCCTCTAGGAGGAGCCATGAGGCGCCGGAGCACCACAGCCAGAGTGGCTTGATTGGCTGGGTTGGACCATGTGGTGTGGAAGCCGATGGTGGCGGTGGGAGACCCATAAACATGGAGGCCCTCTTTCACCTTGTTTGACAACTTCTTAAAAATAATTCAATCTTTTACGAGCAACCAAATTTTGTTTTATTGGGCCAATTTCATTCCACATAGAAAGCTGACATTTCCACTCATTAAACTAAACGGGTATGCCAGTGGTAAATTTTCCCAAAAGATTAATAAAATGCCTTCTTGTAATTTAAAGCCATACAGTGCATAGTAACATTAATAGTATTAACTTACCTTGAACAAAATCCTAGTCTTTTAGATACACTAAAAATTGAAGGGTTTTTTTTTTCCAACTACAAAGGTAAACCTTGTAGGGTAGGCAAGGCGGGTTGTATGACGTGTGTGAGTTCCGGCACCTTTTTTTTTTTTTTTTTTTTACAAAAAAAACCACTGCTTCTCTCTAAGATGGAAATCTCCAGATTTGTGGGACTTGCTGAACACGGTGCCCTGGAATTCTGGAACCCTGGGAATTGTAGTCCTATCCATCTGGATAGCATAAATTGGCCAATGCTGCTGTACACACAAAGCAGGAAAATCACTACTGCGAGTATCCACAGAAAAAAAAAAGTTTAATGAAGTAAGCTTATTGCAGACGCTTCACTTGATTACCTGAGCGCCCAGGTTGCCTAGACATTGGCAAAGATACTTCGGTGAGAGGCAGAATATAAACTTCGGGGCCATTCTGCGTGGCTGGTGAGCCCTGAGCTGAGAATTCACTAGGATATTCCTCCCCGTCAGCATTACTGAATTCCTAGGGCAAGAAAGATAAGGAGAATAAAAACGTAGAATGGGGCAATAGAGCAATGCTACGAATGTGGAGAGGAGAAGGTTTGAGACATGCATTTGGTCCTCTCTAGACCCATAATCCTCCTCTCAATGGGAGGATTATGGCAATAAAGCATGCAAAGCAACTTGGACTCATTCAAGCAGCCTTCCCCAACCTGCTACGGTACACTCCAGTTGTTGGATCGCAATCCCTAAAAACCCTAGTCATTTCAATAGTGACTGGGAACTGGGGAAGTTATGTTAACAAATACCAGGCAGGCACTGGGCGGATGAAGGCTGCTTTGAAATATCATCCTCACTACCACCAGCAGTTTATGTGCTCACACATGGATGACCTTTCATAGATCTTCCAACAGCAATGCATAATTCTGCATGCAAAGAACCCCTGACTCAGTGCTTGCTATCTGCAGAAAAGGCTGGGGATAACACTTTGGCTGAAATATTTATTAAATCCCAAACCATATAGATCAATGGGCCAATTCAATACAAGGCAATTCACTGTGTTCCTAAATACACATGAAAAAGTGCAAAGAACTCACATCCATTCTTTTGCACAGGCAACAAATGTGTGAATAATCACACTGAAGGGAAAGAAAAATGTTGTCCCTTTGCTGCCATACAGCACTAGCAGAGGAATCTGTGCACGCACAGTTGTGTGACACACTTGTGAGAAGAACTGAATCTACGGTCCTCACATCTATATGCCCAGTCTCCATGTGGACTAGTGTAACAGTACTGTAACTGTCCTATTTTCTCCCATAATCTGGCTTAACGAATACCCATAAGAGACTAGGAAAAGAGCAGACACAGCCCAAGGGACATATACACCTCACTCAGTCCTATAACATGGGTTGAGCTGCTTGAAATGGAATTGCAGAACACACACTTTTCAGTAGTAGCAAACCATTTGTGTGAAGATGATCCCACGCACACTTTGGGAGGCTAAGGATCACTACTGCAACCCAAAGGCTCAGCGCACTACTTTATTGCCCCTGGAGGAAAGAGCTGATTCACACAAACAGTTTCCCATCTGTGCAGTTCCATTTCAGATAACCACCTCCACAGCAGAGGAGATATGCACACCATGACAGAGGCACATAAAGTATACAATCGCTCTTTCCCATCCAGCTACAGACATGCCCCATTAGAATTGGGGGGTAACAGAGACAGCCGTGCACTCAGTCACTCTTTTTTCTTCTTCTTCTTCTTCTTCTTCTTTTTTTTTTTTTTAAATCTTTCCACCCCACAGATCTATGCATGTGGGGGAATGCAGTGTTGGGTTCAGGACGAATCCCAAGGTGATCGATTCTAATGTATTTCATGACAGCCAATTTCAAATTTTCTCCAAAAGAAAAAAGATGATCCATGGAGACAAAGGTTTGAAAGAGAGGACGAAAGCAAAATAAACACAGCATTCCCTGCCCAGACTCTCCACAGGTCCACGGGGCAGGTCATAGCCAGGGCTACTGCTTCCAGCCGGTATCCCCAGCCTCACCTTTGCATGGGGAAGTAGGAAGACTTCAGGGGATCCAAATGCAGAGCAACAACCCATCGCCCCGCCTAGTGGCCTTCACCTGCCATCCCACGTCGATCCCCCAATTTTTAAAGTGTGGCCAGCGGCGGCTGCTCTGCTCCCTCCCCGCTGCCCCCCCCAGTGAAAGACAGAGTCATAAGCACAGTTGTGGGAGAAGCAGCCTCACCTTGGTCAGGGGGCAGGGGGAGGGCTGCCCAGGGTTCCCCAGTTCTACATTACAGGCTGTTTTGGGCACTGTGCTGGCCCCCGTGCAGGGCAGATACCTCAAAACCATCCTCAGCCTCTTCTCCCGGGATTCGCTTCTCCAGCTCTAGGCAAGAGTGCCCAGAGAAAGAGTGTTAATAGGTGCACCATCCCTTAGCGCTCTGCTCCCCTCACTACTGCCTGCAGAGTTCAAGGCAGCCCCATCAACCCTGCCCATCCCTCATCCATCCACCCACCGGCCCATCCCTGCTTAAGGCTTTGCCTTCTTCTTGGCGCTCATTCAGTTCTCCTGCAGAGTGAGACCAGTCGGTGCTTCTAATTACCTGGATGAACTTTTTCCTACTGAAGGTTGCCCCGGCAATCAGGTAGGAAAGGGTGAGCATTCCCGGTGAGCATCTTAAGCCTGGATAACCTTGAGCTGCTGCCTTCCTGGCTGTTCCAAGAGGAAAGCACAGAGCCCACTCACAGACTTGTTTCGTGCCCCTTTATAGGCAGCGTGGGAGGATCCTGAAGTGCTTCATTGTTCCCACTGTGGAACCTGGCTACCTCTGTAAGCTGTGACAGAGCTGTCTATCACTCCAGGCTGAACACTCCTCCTCCTCCTCCTCCTCCATGGCTGGTCAAGAGCCTCCACAAGAATGCCAGCTATGGGGCAAGCATTTTTCCAGCACATTCTGTGCCTCTGAAATCACATCACTGCCCACTTCCTTTGGGTCTTTCTAGAGCACATGGTAACCTACCACATTTGGGAGATTCTTGCCGAATTGGGAAGATTTTTCTAAGGACTAAAAAGCAAGTACTCGGATAAGAAGGGACAGAGAATTACTCCTGGTTCACAGTATTAGATTCCTCTCTCTGTTGAGCAATATGTAACACAATGTGCACAAATCCTCTAGCTCCTGATGAAGTCAACAGAGCACACAAACTCATTCTGTGAAGGGGTAGAGGGCTGACAGAAGGGGGGGTGGCTTGCTTTTAGAGCCCTTTGCCTACAAGAGAAGCACTTGAAATAGATCACAGGCAGGACATCCCAAAGGTGCTTTTTCCAAAAAGTAACTGGACTTTTTCTTTTTCTTTTCCTCTGAAAAGGTTGAGAAGCTAAATGTTTACAAAGGAAAAAAAAACAAGAAAGTCCAATTGCCTTTTGGAAAAAAAACACCTTTGGGACAACCACAACCTGGATGATTGAGAATCTCCACAGACATCATAGGCAGGAAACTCTGAGCATCATCTCTTGATGGCATCCAATTATCAAATTCAAGAATACCCCTTTGCTATTTCAAGTCAACCTATTAACTCTTTCCTCCTCTCTCTACATTTTTCTACTGATGCCTAGTCACTTTTTTTTCCCCCCCAGGACTCCCATCTGCACCTCACAATATAGCACAACCCCAGGAAGTTGCTTTCCCTAAAAAATTCCTAAACTTTTCCTGAACGAGGACCCTCCCCCCCCACTCACTCCATCGTGGAAGAGACCTTTAAACCCACACAAGAGCAGGATTAGAAAGGTACCTCATAACTGAGTCAAACTCCCACTCACTCCATCTTGGAAGAGACCTTTAAAACCACACAAGAGCAGGACTCATAACTGAGTCAAACTGTTCAATGTATAAAAAGAAAGTTTCTCTATAATAGCCATGTTCCTGGAAGCCAAAGCCAGGCCTAAGCCTCTATATAACATTTCAGAAAGAGTGAAAATACATCTTGCGTTGACACAACGTTTTGCCTCACAAATGCTTCTGTAGGGAGAGATTGGAACTCATGTATACTGTGGTATCTTCTACTAAGCAAAAGGAAGTGGCAGGTCACGGGAAGGACCGTTCTCCGCCTGAAACCCATGAGAAATGCTGTTGATCGCACCTAGGTGTGCAAGAATCTGACCCGGATAAGATGGTTTCCTATGCTCTCATTCATCTGCTTCTGCCTCTGGCTTGCAAAAGCTCATTAGGCCTTTTTATTTCTATCACCGCTGCCAGACAGCCATCCCCTGTTGTGCTCGGGAGACTTGCTTCTCAGCAAGCCCCTGCCACAAGGCTTTCATCTGATGTCCCAGCCCACATCTCCGCCTTACCCCACTGAATGCCCTCCTGCTGCAACCCCTGCTGCTGAGATTGCTTGACTCTGTGCTTCTCGCGTCTTTGACACATAAATGCACCATGTCGTCCCTCTGACTCTTTATTTTCTGTCTGTGCTTTATACTCCAGGGTGGCCCACGCTGCTTCTTCGGGACTACTCTGATAGGAACTTAATGGTAAAAGCAGGTTTCCAGCTTTGTCTTCACGCCGAGTATTATTTCCTTCTCCTTGCAAACAATAGGACACGTTACTGTAACCTTCCCCAGCCTGGTGGCCTTTAGATTAACTAGATGACAAACTTCAGAAATCCCAGCGATGTATCCAGAAGCCACCAGGATGGCAACGGCTGTCAAGGGCACAGCAGAAGACTTGGTCTGATGCACTGCTATGCCACGGGCAGCCAGAGAGATTTGGACTTCCCCCCGAACTTACCTTGAAGCCAATGCCCCCTTTCTTGCAGCACAGACAGGCCAACATGAGGAAGATGAAGGTGAAGAGTCCTGAAAAGGAAACGGCCACCACCACCAGAGAGGAGGACCAGGAGAGCTCACTCAAGGGAGTGCCATCTGTAGGGAGATAAGCAAGAGGGACAAGATGAGAAAGGGAGGTTCAGGAAAGAGTGATGGGAGGAGGACCAAATATTTGCAAAACAAAGCCAGAAAGAGAATGCAGCTGGGACGGAGCCCAGCGGGAGGCCTCTAGTCTATATCTTGCACAGCTTTAGTTCTCCTTTCTTGCAGACTCAAAGCAAGTTCAGAAATCAAAGATTCCCTCTTGCTGTATGCCCTGCTCTCTTACACCCACTTGTCTCTGACAAATCCGCTACCCTTTGAATCCTGCTTGAAAGAAAAGGAAAGACGCCTGTTCTGTTCTCCCAACTGCTCTCCTGATCTGCTCCCAGAAATGGGCTAGTTTAAATCCAGAGACTCAAAAGAAGCAAACAGCCAACCTGGCTTTTCCATCTATGAAGAAAATAAGGCTTGTCAATCTCATCTCATGGTCTCCCAGCTTGGACAGGCACGGAATCTCAGCAAGGCAGAAATCCTGCCATATCGTGCGGTTTTATCCATGCAGCAGTAATCATGGATGCTGATGCCTTAACACAGACATGTCAAACACAAGGCCCGGGGGCCAGATGCGGCCCGCGAAGTG